AAGGGAAGTAGCAAGCAGCCTTCTAGGAATTTGGTTGGGCATTGAGGACACTGGTTTTTTGCATATAGAGAAGCAATTTACGAGCTTTAGACATACTGGACTTGAGGCACATATGAAAGATAGTAGATACTACAAATATATTGGAGCGCAGGAGAGCAAATAAAACGAGATAGATTATGTTTGTAGTGATATGCTTTCATTTCTTTTTTATTCCTTTTGTGTAACTTCTATGGGTATTTTAATTCTCCCACACATAGACTTTATGTTGTTGTTGTCACAATTTACATCTATTCATGTTATGTATTTTTTTTACATATTTTAGTTAGTTTTAGTACATTTCTCTTTGAACTTTAATTTTTAAAAATCCTCACATGAGGGTATATTTTCATTGACTTTAGAGAGAGAGGAAGGGAGAGAGAGAGAAACATTGATGTGAAAGAGAAACATTGATTGGTTGCCTCCTATACACTTCCTGACTGGGGATCGAACCCACAACCTAAGTATGTGCCCTGAATTGGAATTGAACCCACCACCTTTCGGTGTATGGGATGATGCTGCAACCCCCTGAGCCACTGGACAGGGCAAGAACTATCTTTCTGGTTGTTACAGTTCCATGGGACCCGGGAACATAAGCCTCCCTGTCCTCCAGGCTAGGAGATCTTGGGGCACCCCTGGGCGGCCACCATAGAAACTGGGCCATCAGACATGTGTAGACGCTCCACTTTGTGAGAGACTGGTGCTCTGCAGCCTGTTAGTGGGAGAGTGTAAAGATAGTGACCACTGGCTGGAGCAAGGCAGAGGGGGAGTGTAAAGATGGCAACCTCTAAAAAAAGAATAAAAATAAAAAAGAAGAAAAAGAAAAAAATGGCCCCGAGACTATCCAAGCAGGCCTCTGCCTTGCAGACCAATGTTATAAAATAAACAAATGAGTCTTTTTTCATGTAAATTTGGGGCTCATTTCAAAGGACTGCTTTAGCACTGGCCATAGGGTGGGTGAGTCTGTGTGGAGCCCTCTAGGAACCTGTTCTTAGGCAGCTACAGCCCCAGGAGTCTGGTGGCTGTGAGCCCCACTGGTCTTCAAAGCCAGGTGTCTTGGAGGCTCATCTCTCAGGTGCCTGTCTTAAGAGTTGGGGTGCCTGATGTGAGGTACGAACCCTTCACTCTGCACGGTGCTCTGTTTTTTTTTTTTTTTAAGTTTCTTCCTGATTGTGGGTTGTTCCATTGCGGGGTGGGGTTTATGGCGAGAATGTGTCTCTACCTGCTTCGGTATGGTTTCCGGCTTGTTTACCTGATGTGAAGTAGTATCTCCACCTTTGTTTAGGGTCCCCCGCCCGCCCACCCCCCCAACATAATTGTAGATTCAGTGTGTCCATGGGAGGAGGTGAATTCAGGATCTTCCTACATTGCACTTTTTTTAAAAAATATATCTTATTGATTTTTTTACAGAGAGGAAGGGAGAGAGATAGAGAGTTAGAAACATCAATGAGAGAGAAACATCGACCAGCTGCTCCTGCACATCTCCTACTGGGGATGTGCCCGCAACCCAGGTACATGCCTTTGACCGGAATCGAACCCCTTTCAGTCCGCAGGCCGACGCTCTATCCACTGAGCCAAACCGGTTTCGGCCTACATTGCACTCTTGAATTGGAACTCGAACAGAAAGGAAACAGGCGAGAAAACACCCTTGGGTGCGGGTTTACAGCACTTACTTTTATGGAAATATTTGGGCTAAGAGATAGTGTTTGCATGTTCTCATTCTCGCCTGCCCTGTGATATTTGATACGATAGCCAAATAGGACAGAATTTGCATTTGTTTCTCAGAGAAAAGACCATCTTAATATTCAGTTGTGACATTTTAGAGTACACCCAGGTTTGTTTTGGGTTCAGATTTATTCACTGGGCTTTTTTTTTAAGGTTTACATTTTGTCTGTAATGAGTTAAAAATATCAACATTCAACAAATTATTTTGGGATTCTTGAATTATTTTAAATTACCACCCAAAACTTTGAACAGGTACAATCCAGGCAATGCTTAAGGTAAGGTTCAGATTTTACTGAAAGATATTTGACATTAACTCAAGCACAGTGGCCTATTGGAATGAAAAATCTTCAAATTGAGTTAATGTCAAATATCTTTCAGTAAAACCTGAACCTTACCTTAGCATTGCCTTATTTTTATCTTTTTTACTTCTGCTTCATCTACAAGGTAAAATTAATGCTTTTATTCTTTAGCATCTTTAAGTGTATATGTGGGCAGGTATTGATGGAGAGTGTTTAATGGGATCTAACAAAAAGCTACTCTACAGATTTTATGACATCCCCTTGATAATTATTTGTTTTTATACATGAAAAAATCAACTTAAATGAATGAATCATCATAGTTTGAGTATTCTGAGCTATTTAGTATCAATCAATGGAGGCAATATGTCCTGATAATGAAAGTTCGAGCTAAAATCTCCACATTATGCAGACTCTGACCTTTAATGAAAACAGTTTGTGGTTATGCATCCTTACTGGATTTCCTCTCTTACTTCTTTGGCTGTAGATGGGTTATCTGGAATTATTGGTTTTCATGTTTCTTATTTTGAATGTATTAATGTATTAATCCGGAAGTTTCTATTTGGAGTTGTATAAAAGTTCACATAGATGTGAGGAAGAAATATCTAAGAAGTAGAGTAATATTTCTCAGGGAATAGATTGATTGGCAAAATAGTTTGTATTATTTATAGATAAAATTACTTAAATTGTTTAAAATTGTAGGCCTGGTATTATTTTGATTTGAACATAGAATAGACCAAGGAATAGAGCAAGGCACAGAAACAATCACATAACATAATAAAACAGCGAATATAATGGTTATTAAAATTATATTAAAGAAATTTGTTTACTCTGCCACAAAATGGGAAAATGAGCAGACTTCGGCTGCGTTTGAACTGATGGGTGGGACTGGTTCCCATTTAAGGCTCTGAAAATTCTTCCTGTGATTTGAGGCCCAATTCAGTTTCCCTCATGTCTTTTATCTGGCCCGAGTCTCCTATCAGGGAGTCTTTTCTGTTTCAGCACATGTTACTTTTATCTCCTTTTTGCATTCTCTTCACTCACTATGCCTTGTTTGAGCTAATGATAAAGTAGCAAGAGCACAGCATTGTGGTCAAAACCCATTTCAAACTAGGAGTCCAGTTGACTCACTGGTGAAATGGGAAGGGAGCTAGGGCCTCCCGTGGTTCCTGTGAGACTTAGATGGGAAGGCATAAAGTAGTGCCTGGACCTGAGCAGGCACTCAGAGTCAGAGTCCTTCCTATTTTCGAGTTTCATGCCTAGCTTTCCGGCAGCCTGTCAGTTCATTTAGCGCAGGAAACGTGTTTTATATTCACAGTGCCTTGTGCACAGTAATGTCTAAAATATCGCATTGTTGAATGTAATTTACCAGCCTGCTGTGGAAGCTTAGTACTGTTATTTTTTATTTCCTTTTCCTCTGCCATCTTGGTTTGAGATAAACACGTTGCTTTTGTGAAACTGAGGATTTAATTCAGCAGAATGCCGTTATAATCTGACTTATTCCATGGCGTTTGAAATAGTAAGGGTCAAATCATTTCCCCGGAAACTTAATCATATTCTGTAAAATCCTATTAGCCTGTCTCATACCATCACAGTCACAGTGGAGTTCTGGTGTGTTTAAGATGGTGAAGTCTCTGTAGAAATCTATCTAATGGCACACAGTGAGCATATGGAAAACAAATGACATAAAGCGAGAGGAAATGCAAATGTCTTGCAAATGACATTACTTGACATTTGCAATCACTAATCCTCCAAAGTAGGCGCTAATTTACTAAAATAAACCAAGAATTCAATTTGTTGTGAGCTCCCTTTGCTTAATTAATTATTAGTAGCAGAACAATATTCTGCGCTACACTGCAATTTGTCTCCTTTGTGTTTATCTAGTATCTGACTTAGAAATGAACAGAAGCCCTGGCTGATGTGGCTCAGTTGATTGGGCATCCGTACACCAAATGGTTGCCAGTTCGATTCCTGGTCAGGGTACAAGCCTGGGTTGTCGGTTTGATTCCCAGTTGTGGGGGTGGGCAGTGGGGGGGTGGGAGAGGCAATATCGATGTTTCTCTCTCTTTCCCTCTCCTTTCCTCTCTCTCTAAAAATCAAAAATATTTTTTAAAACCATGAACGGAAACATGCTGATTCAGCAGAACTGATTTTGTAGCTCACCTGTGTTATAAAGCAGGAATGAATAAATGTTTGCTGAACACACTGCGTATGCTTCAGTCATCAAAACGTTAGTTTTCTTACCTTCCCAAAACATAAGATCTGAGAGAGCTTCCTGGCGGAAACTTGCTGGGTGCCTCTTCTGCAGAGATATTTCTAAAGAGATAAGCAACTGTTTTTACATAAATTGTTTTCATGGTTGGAATGTGAGAGCTCTTTTAACACTTTCTCATTGTGATTTGAAATTATACATACATTCATTGTACATTTTTTCTTTAAAAGTAGCTGTGTATGCTAAGACATGAAGAGTTTTTTTTTTTTAAATCCAGTATACTCTTTTGTTGAAATGAAGACTAAGTGGGCTTTCATTTATGCAATAACGTTGGTGTACATTTTCTTACTCTTTTTAAAAAAATATATTTTATTGATTTTTTTACAGAGAGGAAGGCTGAGGGACAGAGAGTTAGAAACATCAATGAGAGAGAAACATCAATTAGCTGCCTCCTGCACACCCCCCACTGGGGATGTGCCCACAACCAAGGTACATGCCCTTGACCAGAATCGAACCTGGGACCCTTGAGTCCACAGGCTGACGCTCTATCCACTGAGCCAAACCAGTCAGGGCCATTTTCTTATTCTTCAGAATCATTTTTAATTATTTTATTGAAAGGCAACTAGTTTGTATTTGTTATATCTGTTTCAACTTTTCTCTGTTAGCTAGTTAGACCTTTGAGGGAAAATAATGCTGCTGTACTAATTATTTACTTTCGTTTTAAATTTCAGTTTCAAAGGACATTTGAATCTCTTAAGAATGTTTCCAACAAATCTGACCTCCAGAAAACCTATCAGAAGCTTGGGAAGGAGCTGGAAAATTTGGATTATTTAGCCTTCAAACGTCAGCAGGTAGGAGCGGGAACTCTCCTTGTGGAGATGATGGATACTAGGCTTTGTGCTGTCACGCCTGTCAGTTTAGGTGGGCCTGGGGCACTTACCTTCCAATGTCTAGGGCAGAAACAGGCTGTGCTATGCTGTGTTGACCGGTCTCTTCATATGACTTCCTGTGGCGTTCCCTGGGGGTCTTGCTTTCAGATGTGCACTCTGGGGGTTTCCACATGTGTCCTTTTACTTAAAGAAAACTCCTGCTGGCTTGTAAAGGTACAACTTCCCTTCAAGTAAGGATGCTTCATTGGCATAAAGGGAACCTCTGTGAATGCTGGACCAGGTGGCTTTTATATTGACAGGGGGATGCTTGAGAAAAATCCCCTGAGGACCAGGTAAAGGATGTGGTTGTACATACAACATTAAGGAAAAAAAGTCATAAATATGCCAAACTATGAATCAACCTTTGCTTTTCTTATTTGATCTCTGAAGATGAGTAAGTTCTCTAAATGTATAAGGTTGAAGAAAAATATACTTTACAAATGCAAATCTTTTTGCCTCCTTGAATAGATTTCAAGATAAATTCTGAGCCCAAATAGAACTGGTTTGCTTTTAGGATTAATATTTTGTGATATTAACAATAATTCTGTGTGTTTGTGAGATTCGACCTTTCCCAAGCTGGACCTTCATCCGTTTCTTCACAGCCACTAGGGGTCAGGGTTGTCAAGCTTTTACTGTGACAGAATGTTTATTCCCATCAGAACTGCCAGTGAGATGTTTAAATGAGGTGGCATGAAGTTTGGGAATGTGCTCACTGATGGATAGCGTCTAGAAAAATGACTGAGTGGGTGACGCGGATGGCCAGGCACCAAGTCCATTACTTAAGAGTCGTTCCTGTTAGTGTGGCAGAAGGTGTGACTCTCTGGCCATTGCCAATTTCACAGATTTTGGATCTATGGGATGGGGGTTTTCAAAGCAAGACTTGCTATGTGTAGTCACACCTCATCAAGTCAGCATAGTATGGTGAGGAAATACTGACTTGAAAAGAGAATTGTGTTTTAGGTTTTGCTTTATCGCAGACCTTACGTGAGCATTTAACCTTTCCAAGGCCCTATTTTCCTAGGAGCTATATTTGTTTTGTAGAAAGTTCTGGGGCAAATGCAATACATTTATATGAAAAAGGACACACTATCCATTTATGTTTTTTTAAACCTATTTTTAAATTAGTGAGGGCCTAGGTATTAATTAGCACATGCGACGAAGCAGTTTACAGTTACTGAGCTTCCGGATTCTGCTGCTTGAAATTCACACCACGAGTCACTGCTCTGGCCCATGCAACTTTCAGTACAGTTTGTGTCCAAGAGCCGTATTTTACCTCTGAGGAGCATTTGAGTTGGCAGGCAGTAGTCACTGTTCCCTCTTCTTATCCTTTCCCATTAACACATTTTCAGTGATTAGATTCTTACATTAGCTAATTGTCACTTTGGAAAAATGGGAATGCTTCAAGGACAGACCTCTGGGAGAATGGCATTGAGGACAGACAGGTAAATTGCATGTGTATGTGAGAAAAATATGGGCATCAGGGGCATATATATATATGTATATATATATATATATAAATTATATATGCTATTTATAAATGACAACTATCTGCCACATAGTGTGTTTAATACAATTATGGATTAGACAATTAAATACATTATAAAGGGCTTGGTTTTATGAACACCATTTTACAGATGAGCAGACTGATAAGAGAGTTAAGTAATTTGCCTAAGATCACCGGGGGAATAAGACACGAGGCTGGTCTTCCAGGGTAAATCAGTCTGACTCTATTTTTTTTTATTTTTTAATATTTTTTTATTTTTCGCTTAAAGTATTACAAAGGGTATTACATAAGTGTCCTTTTTTTCCCCCCCGCCCTTGACACACCCCTACCCTCCCTTACCCCCCAGTGTCTTATGTCCATTAGTTTTGCTTATATGCATGCTTTTAGTCCTTCGGTTGATCTCTTACTCCCCTCCCTCCTGCCCCCCAACTCTCTCTGCTTTCCTTTTCTTTTGGCAATCAGTTTGAGGCAGCTCTGCCTCTGTATCTATTATTGTTCAAAAGTTTGTAATGGTCTTTATTATCCAT